AAATAATGAGCATATCTTTGCAAGGCAGGCATTGCATCATATGATCCAAGAAATTTACCTACTGCACGCACTTTCAAACCAGTATTTCCAAATGAAAAGCAGAACAAGCCACCATAGAGCGTCTGATGGTAGAAAACCCATTATTTTCTGTCTGGATTTCAGTATCTGTTATTGTACGTTTTTCAGTCCCCTACAGCCACAAGCACTACACCCACTACTGCCACAAAGTCATCTTATACAGTACAACTGCAATTGCTTCAATGATGAACATAGTGCAGACAAGAAGAAAACATGGCAAAAGCTCAATTCCAGAACAATGATTCCAGAACATTATTCAACAGAAATTTAATATGGAAGAAAATGAAATATTAACCTTTAATGTTTCTGATATAATATAAATACAGAGGGAAAAACGGTTTCTTCTTCACAAAAATGCTTGATATTGGTCAAATAACATCTAGCAAACTAAAGTTAAACTGAACTTCCCGCATGCCTTCTTGATTAGCCACTAGCAAATTTCCCCCCCTTCACCACATATTTTAATTTGGATTGCAGTGACTAGGATAATACTGCTGTTATGACAAATGATATAAACCAGGGGTTCTCAACTGGTGGTATGCAAGAGAAAAATAGGTGGTACACAAAGAAGCGAAGTATTTTTAAATATAAAATTCAAAAATTAAAACCCGGACATCCTGAATGAGGTTTTTCTCCAACATTCCTAAATTTATGCGATTTGAGCTTTATTCAAGGTCAAGAGCTGCTTATAGACTTTAGCAAGAAGCAAATGATCTGTCGGCATGGCAGTTTTCGTGGTTCCGCATGTTGTACACTTCACAAATATACTTTTAGCCCGTATACATAAAAAAATTTGCCTTAAATAATGTTTTTAAAAGGCGTGATAGAAATGGATGCCGTATTAAATAGGAAATAAATTCCTATAAAAAAAATTGTGTCTCATTAATTAATTATCTTAGAGTTGATCAATTTATTAGCATGTCAGTACTTTATATGTCGCCATTTCGGGGCTCATACTACTCCATTTTCAATGAGAATCATTTTCTTACGTCAGTTTGCTGTCTCTAACAGTAGATATTTTGTCTTTTTGTTGCTTTGTATTCCTTACTTTTCTATGCGATTTGAGAATATCGTCATTTCTTTTTGAAGAACTCGTAATATATTGTTCATTTAAATATTTGTGAAAAATAATAAAGAAAAGCTAGATTTTCAAAATGGAAAAATGGCTAGCATTGACTAAGCGGAAAAGTGACGATTCACAGGTGATGAATCCAGGACAATCTACTAGCCCTAAGAATATTGAAAAGAAATGAAAATGTTTCCAGAAAATATAATGAAAGTTATTTATCATTTTAATTTACTTGGAATGGAGATGAAATGGACCCGCAACCTCAATGTATTGTTTGCGATGAACTATTATCCAATCAAAGTATGAAACCATCATCTTTTAAAAGATATCTTGAATCTAAGCATACCCATTTAAAGGATAAATCTGAAGACTATTTAAGATGAAATAGCGAATGTTCAAAAGTATGTAATTAATGACTGCCAAAACCATCAAACTTAATGTATATTACATCACCACTGAAAGGGAACTGAAACCCAGCTAATAAGCAAATATAATCATGTAATTATGGGTGCTTAAGTATTTTATAAGTAGAAATTCAATCACAGTGTACAACACATTTTTATGGATGAATACATGTTCTACTTCAGCAAGTATATCAACACTTAAAGCACTCGTATTTAGTTGAGAGCTCATCTGCATGCATTCCTTGAACAGCATCTTTATGCAAAAAAAAGCTTTGGATATGGTGTAGTGTCTCCCAATGCAGCATAACTTGGACGATTTAATTCTACATAATGGTGAATACTGCTGCATACATGGGAATCTTCACTGTTTTGTAAAGAAAATGAATAATAACACGGAGCTCACTACTGGGCACTTCTAACAAAAGACAGTAATATGTTACAATTTCATGAGCAACACAGCTTTAGTGCAGTTTAGATATCTTGAATTAGCCAAAGCCACCTGATTTGTCATATCTCTGCCCAATTTCTCAGTTGGCAGGTAAAGCATACTGGAATAAACTGTTAAATACTGCAGATCTGGAAGAACCTTTGCCACAAAACATAGTATATGATTTCGGAACAATTGATAAGAGGCTTTGATAATATAAAATGGCACATTCAATATTATCTGCATGCCATAAACAGCCACTTTCAACACGTCATGCTACCAACAATCAACTCAAGGCCCGTCCACATGAGTATGCTTGCGAAGAGTGCGTTTAACCAATAGAATTACTTTGCGCAAAAATCATGTGACGCTGTGAGCTGTATCTTATTACTTCACTGTGCTTCTGTATGTTTGCGGCAAGTTGTCTGAATCATGATTTTTTTTATAGCTGAAGCTTTACTATTAAGTGCAATTATTAAGCAGAGGCAAAATCGCAAAAAATGGCAAGAATGGGTCCGAAAGATTTATTTAGAGCGACCTGTTCAAAGAGATTTTTTCTTTTTTTTTTTCTGCTTCGCTTGCGAAATGAATATCCGGAATTATTAAATTCCTACTATTAGCTAACACTCTCCCTATATCTTGTTCAAATTTTCAGTACATAAAATGCTTTTATTCATCACAGAAGTTCAAATAAAATTTTTTTAAACTTGTAGTGATAACACTTGAATGTTAATACAGCTTTTTCACATTTAAAAATTTTTAAATTTTAAAAAATTTGTTTGTATTTTTATTTATTTTTATTTTTTTAATTATTCTTTGTAGACCTAAGTAGGAATTGACTTAATTTTTTTTGGTTTATTACTTGTTTTTTAATTACTTCAGGATGAGTATCGACCAGTTTGACAGACTTGCAGATTCTATATTGTATGAAAATTAGGATTTATAAAATTGGTTTGGAATACAGTATATAAAGAGAATTAAATTACTTAATTCTCTTTATATACACCATCCACCATGTAATAAAACCAACTTCATATTTTGTAACCCCCCTCGCTGGTCTTTTGTTTTTCTTTTTTTTTTTTTTGAATTTAGAATGAGGTTCAAACTTTGGACAGTTTATGAGAAATTATGTGCATGATAAAATATGCAATAAAGTAAAAATAAAGAGAGAATTTATAGATGATATATGATAAAGAGATGCAGATATATTATTACATAAGGATTTCTATTTGCATTGCACATTTTTAAACTAAATTAAAAACAATAACAATAATGAATAAAATAAGAAACGAAAACAATAATAATAGGTAAATTAAGAATATAATGATTCATGATTAAATATAAGAAACATGTTTCAAAATGAGAAAAACAAACTGAATTATATACTGTCTACGGGTGAGGTTCGAACTCGCTACCTTTCCATTTGCAAAGCAGCGCGCTGACCACTCAGCTATCTGTGATAGCAGTGTTTGTGAAAAATAATGTAACAAGTAGAAGTCGCTGCAAAGGTAATTTAATTAAACTTCAATAAATGATTGCTGTATGAACAAGTTAACTTTCCTCCAAAATTTCGTTGTATTGTATTATTGAATACTCTTTCACAGTCAACTGCTTTATTTTAGAAGTGTTATATGCTTGAAGTTAGTTTTGGTGTATTTAATATTGGGATATTTATAGAGCTTTTTATTACACATGATATAAGCCAATATTTATAATAAAATTAAGGAGAATTTTGTAAGGCAAAACTTTGATTTCGTAGAAACTGTAATTTATTTAGGTTCCTATTACTTACGGTGTTATAAATAATGAAGCATATGGATAATACTGGTCGGATCATTGCTTTATAAATACACAGTTTTCCCCTTTAATGAGAATTTTAAATTTATACCAATATTTGAGAAATCTGAAGATGGCATGAACAATGCTGATTATTTTATTGCTGTATACAGTTATGATATTTCTAAGCAAAAACTCATCTTTGTGTGGTTCTGATGCCATATTGAAATGGGTAAGCAAGAAGGTTTTCTGATTATGACACGTGATAAGAACTCGGTCGGCTATTGGCTATACGCACGCATCGCGGTCAAAAAAGCTGAACAGGAGTGTACTCAGTTTTACGTCTTCTGCGTCAAGCGAATTTACGCCAGAGTCAAAAGAGTTACATCAACTACGTCGGAAGCGTCCTCGTGTGGACGGGCCTTCATACATCAAAATTCATACAATCAACTCATACACCTATAATTTTAATTATATTATTTTACATGGCTATTTGGGAAAAATTACAGCTAACATTGACTAAGAAACATGATATAAAAATTATTCAATCTACTTATTTTTTCTGCTACTGAATCTAGCAAAATAGCAAACGGTTTTATTTATAGTATGGATGATGCTTCCCTTGAAATTCTTTTTTTCTCACATTATTCGTAAATTGTCTACTTGTCAATAAGCTTTCAAAATCAAAACTTTCTACACTCGTATCAGAAAATTTAGCAGAGGAGGTTTTCCAAATATAGTAAGATAGCATATGAAGCAAATTGTATTTTGCATTAATATACATGATTTTTAAAGGGAGCAATATAAAGATAAAATTATCTTTAAGTATTTTATTTAAATATAACAAACTTAACAAATAAAATAAAAGAATTGATGCCGGTAAGCAAACAAAATACAGCTTGAAACTTAAATGTAGGTGAAGGTAAAAAATTCAGGCCTAACATACAAATAAATATTTAAATATCCAATCTTCTCAGACTATAAACTCCTAAAACAAATTACCACATGAGATAACCAAAAGCTTAAAAATTATCTTGCACTTACGAAACATTTATTGGTAAGATTTAATGTTTTAAAAAACATATATATAGTCTTCAAATTCAAGTAGCTAACAGAAAAACTCAGCAGAATAATTTCTTAACAGCTAGGGTAAAATGTGTAAAATGGTAGTTTCAGGCTTGAAGATCTTGGCTATTAACTAATACTGCCTAAATCTATATAAAATTTAAAACACATATTTACTCACTGTAGGTAAATCAGTGCTGCTCTTGGGAGACAACCATTCAACTTCAGATACTGTACTACGATCATGCTCTTTATCATTATCTTCCCCATCAGATACTATTGAAAAGAAGTATAATTAAAAGTAACAGAAGTGAAGCAAACTTTCCTAGATGGTGAAATATCTTTACTGATCAATGTCATTTCCATGTAAGAAATAAAAATTAATAGAACAAATACAGTATCACAGGATAATAAAAATACAACATATTTCTTTTTTCTACTCTTTGAAACTTATCGCTACTTACAAGTGATAAGATTATCATATGCTTAAAATATAACAGTAAACATATAAAAAATACTCTTTTAACAAGTTAAAATTAGTTGATCATCGAACAAATATAATTTCTAAAAATCAAATACTTCCTTTAAACTATTTATTAACTACAGAATTTTCTTCCAGTTTATTTAATGCTTTCAACTGATGCAAATGCTTTAACACTAAAATTACCAACTATTTCCCCCCTTGCTAATAAGGTGTGTATTATCCTTCAGTGCACTTTCGTAATTTTCTGAGTGGGTTTGAACAGCATTTTATCATAATCTTTTCTGCATTTTCAGAAATTCTACTGTTGCTATTCCAGAATATCATTTGCTACACAGTTTTAAATAGCACTCTCACACAAGACTTATTCTTCTTAACAGCATATTCATATAGCATCAGAAATGAGACAATTAAATCATTTGTAGGATATTTTCTTTATTATTACATCTCTCATTTCTACATTTTAGATACATTCCATACAGACTAGATGCTCTCACATTTTAGAGTTTTACATGCTAGCACACCAGTTTCCTTATTTCTTGGACAAAAAGCACATTTATTAACTCCCCCCCCATTTTTATAATTTTATCTCTGCCAAAGCAAAATATCCCAATTGAGTGTTCAAATGGCAATTTACTCTTCTCCTCTGCTAGTAGCTCACAACAAATGGCTAGGTCATATCTAGGAATTTGAAGATCTTTTTAAGTGAGTTAAATAAAATGTGATTTTAATCTACAAAATATGTTATTACAAGAAGGGATTGGGAATATTCGATTATGGCAAAGCACACGAGGGCTATCGGCCTAAAGGGAGGGATGCCTTCGTGGAGAACTTTAAAAGGGAAACTGGCTCATATACATGTTACACATGGGGAAACCCCCAAAAACACCCATGCAGCCAGCCCGTTCGCGGGATTCGAACCTCGGACCGAACTACCAGTGTTCAGCACCTTTACTGCTTGGCCGCTAGTGGGCCCAATATTACAAGAAGGAGTACGAACATTAAGAAAACAGCTCTCAAATGATCATCTTTTATATGATCATCTGCAAGATCATCTTTTATAACTGAGAGATACATTCCCAATATGAAAGTCTTCAGTATTATTAATGCTTATCTCTTGCTGCACACCATTTTCATACATATCATTTAACCATGAATGTGCTACTTCTTTTAAGTCTAGATCAAGATTTATTCATTTGCCGGTGAAAAGGCAATAATATTTTAAGTTACAATTGGAGGAATGATCACGGAAAATAACGGAGCAATCAATCTGTGGGGCATGATTAGCCTAAAAAAAAACTTATATTTAAACCTTTATGTTCCAAATTATTTTTTGAAAAAGAGTTTAACTTTTTTTATTATATTTCTTTATGCATGAGAAAAATCTCACGTTAAATTTACAAAAATGTTACAAGTTTTCCACTGCTCTTTTTTCTAAAATTTAAAATTGGGGCTCAAAAGTCCCGTTGGGACATAATTGAGTGATTTTATTGATGGGACTAACCCTTTCGCAAATGTGCATCTTTGTTTAAAACGCTCATGCAGGAAGGAAGGGATTCGAAAACAGTCTAATTCTTTTTATCTTTGAAACCAGAATGTAATTTTAAATGTGACACCCATATCATTTAACAATATAGGAAAAATAGCAAAGACGATGAATTTGCTGATAGCACTGGCAATGATGCGTTAAGCTGAGTCATAACTAACTCAAAAGTAGAAATTGTGGAAGACTAGACAGTAAGAGCTGATTGCATTTTATAGTTGCCAGTCACTATATTAAAACTTTTTCAGCTTTCTTGCAACAATTCAAATGTTTTGCTATCTTCTGTCAGAGGGTAAAAAGCGAAATACAACAATATTGTTGATTGTTTAGATGTTTTTTTTTACACAGCTCATCACAGACCATAAAAACATTCTGCAAAGTTTCCGTAAGTCAGTATATTCTTTCACAAATAGTCAAACTTTGTTTTTCTAAACACTGCATAAAACAAATGTTTAATAACTTTTTTTTTCTTTTTGTTTTTTGCCTTTCTTTCCCCCAAAAGTCGGTATTTTGTTAAAATGAAGTAGGCTAAAACAATGGATATATGTACAGCCTTATACAAAATATGAATTGAGAGTTATCTGTTTGAAAATCAATATATAATAATGACACACATCATCATAATTTCCAATATAAATACAGTACAATGAATTATAACAAGATAACTAAAAGTGTCCTTACCTGGAGGTGAATAAAAAGCACTTCCATCATCACTTTGGGATCGAGATAAAGCAGGATGAGATAATACAGGCACTCTTTCAACATCTTGCTTTCCTAAAAATTAATGATTATTTACACTCTAACTCTTATTTTAAAGATACAAAAGTAAACTGCTATGTAATTTTCAACAGAAAGCAATTTTCTCATAATGCAGGTAATGTGAAATATCTGACATATGCTAACAAAACACGCAAAAGATATTTACTGACAGAAAAACATATACAAGTACATATAATATGAAAATATGAGATAATAAGATTTCTTTAAAAGAAGTTCTGAATTTCTTTTACCTACTTCATATATAAAATTTATCGATATTACACCAAGCTTAACTTGACTGCTGGAAATTAGACAGCATTACAAATGATCAAACCATGGTCAAACTGTTTGAATCTTGGCACTGGAATGAGCCATGAGAAAAGTTTCTTGCTTTTTATTTATTTTCAAAATGGCAACAGAAGTTGCATAATACACAAATACATTATATGCTTTTTGTAACACTAATGGCATAATGATGAACCTGTATTAACCTTTTAATATGCCATTAAAAAGTAACTGAATTTTATCAAATAACAGATAATTCTTCATTTCCTTACATAATCTCTTCAATATAATTTGTTTATAAAATTTTAATTGTAAGATCAAAAGTCCTGTCACTCTCCCATATCATTTTGGAATTCAAATAGAAATTATGACATGCACACTTCCATTTGCATTACCTGCATTACTTAAATAACTGATCTAATATGACTCATAGTTTAAATGTGCACAAAAATGTTACCAACTACAGATACTCACCATTTCGAACATAACATTTTATTACAAATTCATTAATATACAGTATTTTATATATGAAAGTAGGAAGTTTTTAAGACAAAATTTAATGGAACTTAGGATGCCATGAATTCAGATCTGTTTTATAACACAAGAGAAACTGGTTACTGAAAACAAGTTTCAAGCAGCCCTTTGACTATTGCACAAGCCTGAATGCAGAACAAGAATTTGTTCCTTGAAGGGCATTTCTGAAAAGCATACCTGCCTTACATGTCTAATATTAAAAAAATACCTATATTACATGATACTTGTATAACACGTCTAATAGAAATTTATTAAGACAATTTTCCTAATATCCATCAAGTTTTATAAAAGGAAATACATTTACTTCTTTATGCTACAATATGATATGCAATCCATTTAGGCGTTTTTCTTATTGAACGAATTCAAAATAAATAAACTCTTCCTTTAACACTAGAACGGGTAGGGGTCATTTTGACCCCTGAACATTTTTTACCGTTGATTACTTTTGTTTTATTGGTAGAAATCGTTTGGAATTTTTTGACATTTCCTAAATAGATAAGAAATATTTATAAAAAAATTTTCAGCATTCTAGGTTAGTTTTTGAAATATTGGCATGTATTCCTAGAACAGCGGATGGGGGTCATTTTGACCCCTTTACTTTTATCCCACTTTCTGCTCGAGGAATTGTCAAATAACCCATGAAATACATTCACTGATAAGGATTTTTCGATTGCATTCATACTATTTCGCAGAGGGATAAAAACCTGGGTGGTCTCACTACTTTGTAATGTCTATATAAGTTGTTGTTCCTTTGTTTGCAATGATCTATTTGTTTGAAGAAAATACTGCAAGGAAAGTAGATGCAGGGTTTTTCATACTTAAATTTCTTTTCAGAAATACTTTATTTTACAGATGTATTTTCCCGTTTGTTAGTTCAGCTTACTTACTGCAGGTGATAACACATAGAACAGATGTTTTCCTGGTAATCCCAAATCAGTATTTCAGTACATGGGAATTCTGCTGTCAAGTTCATTATCACCTTTCTTTACGCTGAGAGAATCATATGCTAAAATATATTCACTATCGTTGAATGCCTGGATAATTTATAAAAGTGTAACAGGAAACACCATTAACACTAGAGATTTTCTACTGAAATTAGGAGAGGTACACATGGCTTCAAAACTTCCAAAGATCCTTCCTGAATCTGCAGAAAAAACACATGAAAAGAAAATGGATATAAAGAGAAAAAAGTGTCAAGTACAGAGATGCAATAGAAACAAATCTCAAGAATATTGTGCATCTTGTTCCAAAGTTGTTTGTGGAAAATGCACTGGAAAAATTGTTAAAAATTATTTTTAATTCTTAATATGTATATGTAATCTCTAATATTTTAAACATTAAGTAGAATTGAAATGAAATGTTTTACCTATTCCATTCAGCTACACATATAATGATATAACTGAAACATCAGAGAACATTTCTCATTTCTGGATTTAGAGAGTGAATCATCCTCCGAGTAAGTATATAAAAAATATTATTCTATAAGTTGTGTTTATTTTAGTTAACATTAGTTTTAATTTCAGAAATCATTTATTTCAAATCAATTCTTATATGAAATTAATGAGTTATTTGAGTAATTGTAGTATGATCCAATTGATCGCCATGTACACGATACATTTACAGTATTTTAAAAAGTCCATAAATTATCATGTGATATTAAATATAAATTATGAAATACATATAAAGTATATATTTGTGGCAATGTCTGGCATTTAAAACTGTTTTACCTTTATTATTTCAGTAGCTTCATCGAAGGGTCAAAATGACACCTTACTGCCATTCCAGTAGGTAAGATTTTCACGCCGTTTTAGTGTTAATGGACTGATTAGGACAAAAGGAAGTCTGTAAAACTGGAAGTGTATTAATTCTGAACTGTGTTATGAACAATATTTAAAACAGGATATTACATTTGATACAGTGCCGTATAATGTAAATGCAAAATATTTAATGCACACATCATTAACAAAAACTTGCAACTTTGTGTTAAAAAAATGAAGAAGGCTTAATAACCAAAAATCTAAATTGCCTTAAATGTTCATAATAAAGCAACACTTCCAGATATGAATATTTCTCTATACCTGTGGATGAAAATGTAGAAATGGCTTATTACTAATAATTCAGGACCAGATACAACTGATTCCTTTTTCTTGACGAATTAGCAGATCAACGTCGAAGCTATCATTATCACCAAAAGCATTCACAACACTTTCATCGCTTCCTGGCTGAGATTCTAGTAGCTTGATCCCCCTTGACTATGTTTAGCTACCATTCAATATCATTTTGCCTAACATTTTCTCCATAGTTTGAACCAACTGGGAATTTCAAAAACCTTGGAATTGATTTCTCCTTCCACTCCACTTAACAGCTACTTTCTACTATCAGGTAATGTGGTTTTAGGTTTACTCGTAGAAGTTGCTAGTGATGAACTCTATGCTATATACCAAAGGTGGTCAAACTTTACTATGATAGGGGCCGCATTGTAGATTTCGTGAAAGCTCAATAGCCACAGCTGGATTTTCTAAAAATCAAATACATATTTATATTGTTTAAAAAATAATGAAACACTTGAAGTAACTTAACGAGAATTTCACATTTTTATGTAATTAATATGGTTTCATAAAAATGGGAAACTTTATTTCTCCTGCTTTGGATTCAGAAAAGAATGTTACAACAAATTATAAATTTGAAACTGCTTACTACACAATGCATTTGCGTGTTATTCTTTCAGGTAAAAAACAAGCATTTTCTTGTGTTTTCATTTATTCTTCTTTGCTTATAACTGTTGCTTGGTTTCATTAGAAGTGAACTTAAGAGGAAAGAATATGCATTGGTAATACATATTGTAAATGGTTTTTCATTCAAGTGAAAATAACTCACTCATTTTGAAAAACAATTTGAATGCTTTTTCTTATATTTGGAGTTCTACACCACAATGTTTTAGAAAAAAGTAAAATATGTGATGAAGGACAGCACACAAAGTAGAGAATCTATTATCTAAAAAAAAATAAAAATTACTTTGCAAGAAGCTTTTAATTTTTTTTAGGCTTTTGCATGAAAATTAATAACTTTATTCCCCCCACACAATTAACATGAGGGCCAACATACTGATATAAAATCTGACTTTAAATAATTGAATTAATTCATTAATTGAGAACAGTTACACGTCTTTATAAGGTTAATACTTTTAAAACCTCACATCTCTCAAATCTTCAGAAAGATTTAAATTCTAAATCCTGAATCTTTGAACTATTTTCATCATTCAAATCTTTTGAACCCTAATTTAAGAAATTAAATGTTTTGAATCAAAACTTTAGAATGACTTTATAACGTATTTCTCCCACCTTCCTAGCGTGACTTTGTGGTGTAGTGGTTCTGCATGCTGGGTCAGTATTCCAGAGGATAGTGGTTCAATTCCTGGCGAAGGCAATTGCTCATTTTTCATCTCTACTGCTTCCAAAAAAATCCTAATGTCTCTACAGTAGTGCTCAAACTAAAAGGGTTGTGGATGATGACTCTCCGCACTCAGACTTGGCGATTGGGTCCTCTGAAAACCTCAGTCGCCCTTTAGAAAGGGGAGTATATAAGGTATTTCTCCCACTTTCCTAGTGTGCCTTCATGGTGTAGTGGTTCTGTACAGTGGACAGGTATTCCAGAGGTCCGTGGTTCGATTCCCGGCACAGGCGATTGCTAATTTTTCATCTCTTCTGCTTCCAAAAAAATCCTAATGTCTCTACAACTTGTATTAATGCCCAACATATACAAATAAATTAAAAGGAAAATGATGCTTGCAATTTAAGTGCCATCAGAATCTTCAATTTCTGGCACTGAATGCTGAAATGTTTCAGCATAATTTTTAGCAAAATTTGCAAGAATGTTTGAGTAATCAGTACTCTGCGCATCATTGAAAATTTTAAAAATTCTCTCTCGAATTCCATCTATAACTCTGCACATAGATAACCTACTGCTAATAAATCTAGCAACTCATGTCATGATACTAATTCAGAAGTCAAACAACAAAAATCAGCGTTAATTTACAAAATTTTTTCACAGGACTAGTTTCGATGGTTTTACTGAACCATCATCTTCAGCTGCAAAACCGCAAATGAACAAGATAGGAAATAATGTTTAGATAAGATAAGAAAGCCTGGACAAGAATAAGCAAGTGGCGCCATCTGTTGGCGAAACCAGAACTAAAACATAATT